TGAACGCATGCAGGGCCTCGCACCTCCTCGTCGGGCGGCGTCCGCGGTGGGCGAGGCCGCCGAAGGCCCGGCGCGGCGCCCGCGCCGCTCGCGCCCGCGCCCGCCCAGCTCGGGCCGCTGCCCTCCGCAGCGGTTGAAGGGGCCCTGGGACACACAAATAAATACACACAAATAAAATTATTCCCCATATTTTCCCGTATTTTCTGGATTTGTGTCTTCCCCCCCAATCCCTATATTTTCCCATATTTTCTGGGAAATCGAGGATTCATTGTGTCTGTGTGTTTCTTTTCCTCCTGAGCGGTGCGCTGCGGGGCGCCCGCCTCCGCGCACCGCGGCGGCGCCCAGCGGGCAGCGGGGGGGCCGCGGGCACGAGAGGCAGAGGCGGAGGCGGCGCGGGGAGTGCCCGTGGTGCGGGCTCGCTGGCTGGCTTGCGCCAGCCCGACATGAGCCGAGCTGGAACATGGAGGAGGAGGAGGAGAAGGAGGAGGAGGAGGAGGAGGAGGAGAGGAGGGATGAGGGGGAGGAGGGAGGAGGGAGGGGGAGGGGAGGCGGAGGAGGAGGAGGAGAGGAGGAGGATGAGGAAGGAGGAGGAGGAGTACGAGGAGGAGACGATGATGATGATTGATGATGATGAATGAGGAGGAGGAGAGGAGGAGGAGGAGGAGGAGAGGATGAGGAGGAGGAGGAGGAGGACGAGGGGGAAGGGAGGGGAGGAGGCCGCCGTCGCCCTCGCCGCGGAGCAGGAGGGGGAGGGGGAGGAGGAGGACGAGGGGGAAGGGAGGGGAGGAGGCCGCCGTCGCTCTCGCCGCCGACTCGCCGGCGTCCGCGCGCGGCGGCAGCGGCGGGCGCAGCGCCTGCTCGGCCTGCTGGTCCTTGGCGGCCTGACCGTCCTCGGAGCACAGGCCGCAAAATCGGCTAGAATCGAATCGGGAAATCGGAACGAATCCAAGACGAAACCAGGAAGCGGATAACACCGGGTGAACAGAAATCCAGAATCTCTGAGATCCGGCGGCTCTGGAGGCTGTCTCGGGCGCCGCGGCCTTCTCAGAGCGTTCTGGAACGGGTTTATCGTCCTACCCCTAGGTCGGGCATGTCCTCCTACAGGCGGATTTTGGAGGACACATTCAACATGGTCAGAAACACTTAACCGTCTCGAGACGGTTCTTGTTGCCCCTATTTCTGGATCGGCCTCTTGTAGGGGGCCACGCCCGACTTCGTCCTAGCCCCTGTCCTCGAATCGCAAAAGAGCGCAATTTTGTGTTGTTTGTTTTTTAATATTTTTTTCGATCCTGCTGGACGCAGGCTCTGCGTACACGCCACCCTGGCCTGGCCAGGCGGGCGCACGCACCGAGCCCCGGCCCCGGCCCTGCCCGGCCAGGGTCGGTGCAGGGATGGGCCCCGAAGGCCTCCAAGGAGGAGGAGGAGGAGGAGGAGGAGGAGGAGGAGGGGGGGAGGGAAAGTCTTCGCGGACTTCCTGGATCGGCGCTGGACCCCCCTACAGAGCGGAACGTTCCTGTTTGGACGCCCGAAACGGGTACGGAAAGAACGGGTACAATGCCCAACAGCAAGTGTTGTCCCAAACCAGCAGCGGCCGCTGTTGGGCGGGCGGCCGCTTGTCTCAAATGGACACAGGCCGCGGCGGCGCGGATAGCGAGCCCTGTTCAAGATGAACAGGAACTGCTGTTGGGCACTGTACCCATTCTTTCCGTACCCATTTCTTTTGTGCCGAGCCGGGGGCGGAACTGGAGGCGCCGCCAGGGGGGTCCCGCGCCGACCCACGACGTCCGCGCGGCCGTCCGACAGTTCATGCCCAGGACGGCTTCTCATCTTCGGCAGGCGCAGGAGCAACATCGCACCGGGGCTCGGGGAGTCCGACCATGCCTGAGCGTGCTGCTCCTTCTGCACGCGAACCATACCTGAGCGTGCGCAGAGATCGGGCCGGGCTGCGCCGGCACGGAGTCGACATCGAGCCAGATCGGCCGCGCCAGGGCGCGCGAGAGCGCCCTGCGAGCAACCGTCCGCGCCGGGCCGCCCGACGATCGGGGCCGGATTGGGCCGGCCGCGCCACCAAGCACCACAGCGGCACCATGCGAACATCTGGCTGCGCCGGATCCCCCGAAGCTCGAATGAAGGGGCCCCAGGACACACAAATAAATACACACAAATAAAACAGATCCCCCATATTTTCCCATATTTCCTGGGTTTCTGTCTTCCCCCCCACTTCCCATATTTTCCCATATTTTCTGGGGAATCGAAGATTCATTGTGTCTGTGTGTTTCTTTTCCTCCTGATCGAAGTCGGTTCGGGTCGGGCGGGCCGAGGTCGGTGCCACGTCGGACCGATCGGATCGAAGCGGGTCCTGCCTGCTGGGCGGACGCCGCCAAGCGACCGCCGCCGCCGTCGTTGTCTCGGCCTGCGTCGCCGCCGTCGCCGCCGCTGTTGCCGTCGCCATCGTCGTCGTCGCCGTCGGTCGGTCGTCGTCGTCGTCGCCGTCGTCGTCGCCGTCGTCGTCGTCGTCGGCGTCGTTGTCGTCGTCGTCATTGTCGTCGTCGTCGGCATCGTCGTCGTCGGCATCGTCGTCGTCGTCGTCGTCGTCGTCGTCGTCGTCGTCGTCGTCGAGTCCTCCTCCAAAGCGGACGGGAGGTGAGGAGGAGGCAAGGGAGAGAGGAGTAAGAGGGGGGAGGCTGGAGGAGGAGGAACTCGTCTAGAGAAGGGAGCAGGGGGCTCTCTTGGAGGAGGACGGAGGAGATGCTGGGGCAGGAAGAACGCCTCTCCTCCCAAGAGGGAGAGCTCCTCTCCTCCCAAGAGAACGCCTCTCCTCCCAAGAGGCTTCCTCTTGGAGGAGGAGGGAGAACGCCTCTCCTCCCAAGGAGGCTTCCTCCGCATCCTCCTTCCTCCCTGTCCACCTCGGACGCCTCGGCCCCTCCTCGCATCTCCGCTTCCCTGCTCCCTCCTCCTCCTCCTTCCTCCCTCCTCCTCCTCCTCCTTCCTCCCTCCTCCCTTTCCTCCTCTCCCTCCTCCTTCCCTGCTCCCTCCTCCTCCTCCTCCTCCTCCTTCCCTACTCCCTCCTCCTCCTCCTCCTCCTCCTCCTTCCTCCCTCCTCCCCCCTTTCCCTTCAGAGCGAAACTGTGGCAACGAGAACACCACATTTGACCGGCCTGGGAGGTCGGATCTGGAGGTCGGGCTACGCGGCCCTTCCGCAACCCCAGTAGGTGCCCACGGCGACAAGATCGTCGCAAACCAACCGAACCGATGGCGAGACCGCCAAGGGCTAACTTCGACTAGGTGATCGACGACATAATTGTTCTGCACCTAGAGCTGTTTTCGTCGAATATACGAAATATTCCACGTGTTTGGTGTAGGTTCGGAAGAGAACAAGTTTGGGGTACATCAATTTTATAGTCGATCTCCTACTCGATAAGTGCAACGTAATGGGACGCGGCGGCTCGGCAGGAGAGCGAGGAACGTTAGGGTAGGACTCACTCAAGAGCGGAACCATCGACCTGGAATAGGCGAGACGTCGCTGACAGATCGGCGATAAGCCCCCCCACACCGTCCACGGCGAGACCGAAAGCGAATCCTGCTCAAAACGGAGAAGAGCTGCTGTCGGTCTTGGTACCCACTCTTCCCGCACCCACTCCGAGCGTCCCGATCGTCGGATCGCCCTGTCCCCAGAACCACGCTGCTGTTGGCCCCGGCATGCAGGAGAGGGTGTGGAGCTCTGCCGTTCGCTGCTTCTGCTAGCCTCATCCCCGCGCTGCTGCTCGTGCGTTGCCGGCCAGGCCCCGGGGCGACGCATGGGTGCCCCTGACGCGAGCGGGGCCCATGGGCGGCCTGGGCCGGCGAGCGCCCGCACTCCTTGGGGGGCGTGAGATACCTCTGCAGCGACCAGGGCGTGGACCGACCGAGCGCCAGCCGACCGCGAAGGGAGCCGAGCCGAGCCGAGCCTGCGGCGCGGGCAGACCTCTGGGGCGGCTCGGCCGCGGAGGGCTCCGGGGGCACGTGCCCGGGGCGTCTCGCTCTCTCTCGGCGCGGCGCGCGCGTGCGCTCGCGATGCTCCTTCTCCTGCTGCTCCCTCTTGCTGCTGCTGCTGCTGCTGCTGCTGCTCCTCCTGCTCCGCGTCCTCCTGCTGCTGCTCCTGCTCCTCCTGCTCCGTCTCTTCCTGCTCCTGCTGCTCCTGCTCCGTTTCTTCCTGCTCCTGCTCCCCCTGCTCCTCCTGCTCCGTCTCCTGCTGCGCCTTCTCCTGCTGCGCCTGCTCCTGCGTCTCCTGCTCCCCCTGCTCCTCCTGCTGCTGCTCCTCCTCCTCCTCCACCTCATCCTCCTCCTACTCCCTCCAGCTCCAAAGGTGGAGGAGCGGAGGGGGGCTGGGTTTGGGGAAGAAGACGGAAAGAAACACAACTGCTCGTCTTCGCCCCCTCGCCAACAATCCAATATCCGTGGCCAAGGGGCCCTGGTGTCCTGCTGCTTTGACCAGTCGACGCTGAACTCGACGGACTCGTCCCACTCCTGAAGAGAAGGGGGGTGAGGAGAGGGTGGAGAGCAGTATCAGGAGGACGAGGAGGATGGGGAGGAGCGAAAGAGTGGAAGAGGGGGGGAACGGAGTTACATACATTCAGTGCACGCCGACATCAGGGTGCCAAGACCCTTCCAAGTCGGGCAAGACATTCAAGGCTCACCTCACCCTCAACGATCGGTGCTCGAGATGGTTGGTCTGCAACCATCTCGGGGGATCGGGGAGCCTGGTCTGCGGACCGTGCTGAGCGCCCGCTGCGGTGCTGGACACGACTACCTGTAACCTCTGCTGCCCTCTCTGCAACCTGCCGTCGCCATGCACGTTTCGTAGTTCGTTCACTCCTCCACCTTTCGGCGCCTCCTG